GTGCGAGGAGGAGGAGGAAAAGGAGGAGGAGGAGGAGGAGGAGGACGAGGACGAGGACTAGGAGGACGAGGAGGAGGACGAGTGGAAGATTGGGGGCCGGAGGAAGTGGATCATGGTGATGATTTGGTGGTAGAGGAAGGCTGAGTCACGAAGGGGGAATTTGCGACGCGGACGCTGGGGCGGCCAGTTTGTTTTTCGCCTTCACTTTCTGTTGCTCCTTGCTGGGCTTCTCTCCTCATCTGATGATTGGGTGATGATGGTGATGGCGATGATGATGCGGATGACGATGGTGGTGATGATGATGAGTATGATGATGATGATGGTAATGCTGTTGATGACACTGCTGATGTCGATGATGATGCTGATGCTGATGTTGCTGCTGCTGATGAAGGTGATGATCATGAGGATGATGATAATGATGACGATGCTAATGATGATGTTGTTGATGATGATGCTGGCAACGACGGTAATGATGATGGTGGTGGTGACGACGACAATGATGATGCAGCTGATGCTGCTGATGACGATTACGATGATGATGATGATGGTGATGCTGCTGCTGATGATGATGATTATGAAGAGGATGATGAGGATGATGATGATACTGCTGATGATGATGGTAAGGGTGCGGATGGTGATGATGGTGACGATGATGATGATGATGGTGATGATGATGAGGATGATGCGGATGATGCTGCTGCTGATGCTGCTGCTGCTGCTGATGATACTGATGATGATGCTGATGCTGATGCTGATGCTGACAATGATGTTGACGATGATGGATGCTCTTCTCTTAATGAAGCAGTGGTGCTTTGTGACATGGGTATGTCTTGCCCCTCGGGACTCCGCAAACCGAGGAGTGGCCTCGCGTGGTAAGCGCTCTGGGCCAAGATGCCTGCGGAAATGCCACCGTGCTTGCCTCCTGATCGCTCGTGTGATAGTCACGCGCAAAAGGGGGCAGGCGGGACTCGGACGAGGATCAATCCGTTCCAGAGCGTTCTGGGAAGTTCCCAGAGCGTTCTGGGATGCTCTGAGAAGGCCGCGGCGCCCGAGATCCTCCAGAGCCGCTGGATCTCAGAGACTATCGATTTATCCTCATCCGAATTCATCCTCGTCCTGGCTTGGTCTTGGTAGGGGGAGGGGGAAATTCTTCGAAGCATCCCTGCTTCTACCAAGTCTTCCCCCCTCCCTCTACGGCAGGTTCGTGTCGTGACGACCCCGGCGTTGGTTTCTGACACCGCGTGGATCGTTCAACCTTGAACGATCGGCAGCTTTCCCATCGCCCGATCGTTCCATGTAGGCCGATTCTGGGCCACTGGCGGCGTGCAACCTTGAACGTCCGCGGCGGGGTCGCCGCCAGTCGACACGACGTGAACCTACTGTACCCCCTTGTGCGAGCCATCAATCATCCACTCCCCTCGTCGACCGCGCTCTCGTCCTCTCCCTCGTCCTCGCCCTCCACCCCCGACACTTCCCATGTCCTGGCATTCCTTCCGTGCGCGGGCCCCCTCCTCGTCCTCCCCCTCCTCCACCTCCTCCTCCTCCTCCTGCTCCTCCTCCTCCTTCCATGGTGGTTGTCCTAACCCCTCTTGTGCACCAAGGCTTTTTTGAGGGCCGAACATGTGCTTCGTTCTTTATCCGTAAGGTCTTCGCCCCCTGCCGCCGGCCCCCTCTCTTGGATAATGGGTTATGCAAGAGCTGAATCATGAGGCCTCGGCGCCGCCGTGAAGCAGCATCGGCAAGAGAAATTGAGATTCTGATGATAGTGTTCATGGCTTCGGGGGCGCGAATATAGCGTAGTTTTACCATCATGTGCAAAGGGTAGATGGCTTCGGAGACGCGAGCATAATGTAATTTACAAGGGTTTATGGTTTCGGGGTCGCACATATAGTGTAACTTTCGCCGGTTGATGGACTCGACAACGCGAAGATGGTATAATTTAGGAGGGTTTATGGCTTCGGACACGGGACTATTGTGTAATTTTCTAGGGTTTATGGCTTCGGAGTACCACATATTGTGTCATTTACGCAGGCTTTTGGTTTCGGAGACGCGAATATGGTGTAATTTACAAAAGGTTTATGGCTTCGGATACGCGAACATCGCGTAATTTGCGAGGGTTTATGGCTTCGGGGACGCGAATATTCGGGAACGTATTCATTGAGTATTTTACAACGGGTTTACAGCTTAGGAGACGCGATAGAGTAATTGACAAAGGTTTATGGTTTCGGGGACGAGAGAATTGAATGTATTGCAAGCGTTTGTGGCCTCGGGGACGCAAGTATTGCGTACTTTACAAAGATTTATGGTTTCGGAGACACGAGAAGGGCGTATTTTCCGAGGGTTTATGGCATCGGGGTCGCAAATATTGTGTTATTTACGCAGGGTCATGGCCTCGGGAACGCGACAATTGTATACTTTACCAGGGTTTATGGCCTCGGGGGCGGCAATTTCAAATTTTTTTTCGTGTCCCACGCCCCCCCCAGAAATTCTGAGACCCCTCCCGGGAAGTGCTAACCAGGGTGCTTTTCGGCTACCCCCCCTCGCGCGGTCTACAACAACAAGGAACAGTAATACAACAAGAAGCAGAGCTATCACATTGGAAACTGGAACCTGCATACCGTAACAGTGGAAACTGGAAACTGGAACTGGCGCAGGGAACAGCAAACCCTCAGCCTACAGCCTGGTGGCCCCACAAGTGGACCGGCGGATTCCGTGTTCCTTCTGATCGTAGTTTGGATTGAGTTTAGGTGCCTTCGCGCAGATGGCTCTTCTTTTTTCCCTTCCAGTCTCTGGCGCGCTGCTGGAAAGCCAGTGTATACAGGCGTGTGTGTGTGTGTGTGTGTGTGTGTGTGTGTGTGCTGGTCTTTGGCTTCACAGTGCCTCATCTTTTCACCACCTGCACATGTCTTCACGGACGTGGCTGGACCCTTTTATCACGGCGCGTTCGCGTAAGTTTGTCCGTCATTGGCATTTTTTATTTGCCGACCGCGCCTGAGGTTCCCCTGCGCCGCCGACTATAAAAGTGTGTGCTGGTCTCGCCAGTGTGCCTTTTCATTTCCCCGGCTCGGGCCGCCCGCCTTTGGCTCCCTGCCGAGGCTCCCTGCCCGCATCACTTTGGCGTGGCGCTTCGGCTGCCGCCTTTTGCCCGCCCGCTCTGGCGTGGCACCTCCTTGGCCGCTGCCTCGCCCCCGCCTCTGCCGCCCGCGGCCCCTGCCCCGCTCGCTGCCCCGCCGCCCCCGCGGCCGCTGCCCGCTGCCTTGCCTCACCGCCGCCTGGCCGCTGCCCCGTGAGGGGCAGCGGCCGTCTTCCCTTGCTTTTCCCTCCCGCCGACGCTGAGTGTGCGCGCGGCTCCGGCCGTGCGGGCGCCCGACGCCTGCTTTCGCTGCCCTGGCCGCTGCCTCTCCTGGCCCGCCGGCCCGCCTTTCCTGCCGGCTCCCTCTGCTCCAGGTCCGAGCCGACTGTGGCCGCCCAGCTGCTGCGCACACGGCTGCCGGTGCGAACGTATGATGTGTGTGTGTGTGGATCCTTGCCGCCTGGCCCCGCTCTGAGCGAGCCCGGCTTCCGTCTCCCTCCCGCCCGCGCCAGGCTCCCTCCTCCCTCGTGCACCGCGGCTTCACTCGCGTCTTGCGTGTCCCACTAACGCTTCATCGCCAGCGCAGTCACTCTGCCTAGCCGCCGACGCATGCAGTGTCTGGATCTTGCCGTGTGTGGACCCCTACTTGTATGGAGCGAAGCGTGGAGCGCTGGTGCGCGGAGCCCGGAGTGCGGAGTCAGGCGTGCAGGACACTGTGTGCGTGGAGCCATCCGTGCGTTGAGCCCTCAGGAGCCCACCCGAGCCCAGGCGGCGGCCGGAAAGTGCGGCAGTCGGGGCAAAGTGGACCCGCGCGAGCCGACAGGAGTCCAGGCGGCGACCGGAGAGTGCGATACCTAGGGCACGTGAGCCCATAGGAGCCCCCCAGACGCAGGTACCCAGGAGGCGGCGCGAAGGTGCGGCACGCAGGGCCGGCCCTTTGCCGCGCAAGGGAGACGACCCCAGTGCAAACACTCTCCCAAGAACCTAAGTGATGCGTTTCCCCAAGTCGTGCTTCTGCCTGCTTCTTCTGACGTGTGTGTGTGTGTGTGTGTGTGTGTGTGTGTATAGTACATTGTTAATCGAGAGGGGACAGCGTGTTCATCCCATCTTGTGGACGAAAGTGCACTCGCTCGATCTCGCGGACGACGGCGGCATGCGGGCGATGTCGTGCTCATCCAGAGGTTTGACCATCCCCAAGCCGCTTGTTTGAGCGGCCTCGGGCCCTCCCCCTCTCCCCCCATCGCTGCGTCCACATCCCACGACGCCTCGCCGCACTGATCACACACTCGCACCGCTCTCCTCACACCTCGAGCGGATCACGACTGCTTGGTACGCGGACGCACACATTTTTTGCGCCGGCGGCTAAGCAGAGTCGCTGCGGTGGCAGATGGGGCAACTGCAGGGCATACAGTGGCAAATCAAGCCGCGGCGCACGGGAGGGGAAGGCCTGGCGCGCGCGGGAGGGAGACGGAACACACACACACACACCCACGCGCGCGTTGTCCGTACATCTGACTCGAAGCGTGGGGGCGCTCGAGTTCGGGCGAAGAGAACGATGCACATGCACTGGTCCTGGCCAGGCCCATCCTTGGCCCCAGGCTCGGTGCACATGCCTTCCTGGCCAAGGCAGGAGGGCGCATGCATCGATCTTGGGCTCAGGACGGACCTGGCCGAAATCGGTGTGTGTGTGTGTGTGTGTATGTGCACGGCTTCGCCTCCTCCTGGCCTCGCCGTGAGGCTGCGCTCCTTCTTCCCCTCCTCCTTGTTAATTCAAGCTTCGCGCGGCCCGCTTAGCTTCGACCGGAAGAGGTGCGCTCTCGACCCGCGAATCAAAAAGTGTGTGTGTGTGTGTGTGCGTGGTTCTCTTTCCTCTACGGGTGCCGCGCTCCTCTACGGGTGCGGCGGGTGGGCGCGGCCGCAGGCGGGCATGACGCACATCGTCCGCGACGTGGACCGGCCGGGCTCGAAGCTGCACAAGAAGGAGGTGGCGGAGGCCGGTGCTGGCCCGGCCGCCGAGCCCCCGGTGCGGGCGGAGGGCGCAGGGGGTCTCGCCCGCCAGCGGAGACCCGGGGCCACTGGGAGCCCCAGGGGACGAGGGGCGGGAGGAAATGTGGACGAGGAAAGGCAGGAGGAGGAGGGGGAGGAGGAGGGGGAGGAGGAGGAGGAGAAGGCAGGAGGCAGGAGGAGGAGGAGGGAAAATGGGGGAGAGATGGGAAACGGATGCGGACGAGGAGGGGCAGGGGGAGAAAACCGCGGAGGAGGATGAGGATAAGGATGAGGATGAGGATGAGGATGAGGACAAGGAGCAGGAGGAGGAGGAGGAGGAGGAGGATTATGAGGACCATGATATAACCAAGACGCGTCAACGATATTGCAAGAAACCCTCCCTCCAAGTTGTCTCTTCGTAGGTGCCTGCAAGATTGTGTTTTCATTGCGGGACGTACCCTATTGGAAGACAACCGTCTTAATATCCCCAATCGTGCCAAGAAGCAGTTCCCATGTTTTCAACGCCGCGAATCAGGGTGACTGTTGAGTCTGGACAATTGTACGTCAGTCCAAAACACCGCGAATCAACACCCCGACAATCCTAGCTCCTGCCAGAACACTCTTCTTAGGATTTGAAACATACGAATCTTTGATACTGTTGCAAACTTTTGAGACGAACGTGTGCGGCGCGAAGGCGAGAGCCACCTGATGAAAAGGAACCGCCCTCCTCCTTGAATTTGTCGCAAACTTTAAGACGAATGCGCGCGGTGCTAACGTGAGAGACACATTTTGAAAAGGAACCGCCTTCCATCCTTGAAGCTGTTGCGCGCTGTTAAACTGAATGCGCGAGGCGCTAAGGCGAGAGCCACAAATTCGAAAAGAACCTTCCCTCCATCCCTGAAGCTGCTGCGAACTTTGGGGTCGAGTGTGCGCGGCGCCATGGCGACGGCCACATTTCACAGACGACCCGCCCTCCATCCTGGAAGCTACTGCAAACTTCAAGCGTAAGGGTCATACATGGCGGCGAGGACGTGTCAGGCGAAACGCCTGGCCGGCCCTGCCGACACGCCTGGGGGTGCGACGGGGAGAAGCCTTCTGTAAGGCAAGGAACGTCGGAAGCTGGAGCATCTACATCACCAGTGGCGGGCGGTTTTTCAGTCCCAGGACTTTCGTAAGGGTCGGGGACGACGTCGGGGTGGTGTGGTCAGTCAGTCAGTGGAGCCGCGCCGCACGGCGCATCGGCTAAACAGCACGGGATTGAATTCAGCAGTTCTGATACATAAACTCCTAGAAGACGTATGGCATGCCATGGATGGCATGGCGGTCTGCGCGCCAACTCTGGCAAGGGGAGCGGTCCCCTAGAGGGCAGACCGTGCGTTGAGCAAGTCGGAGAATTAATGAGTCAGCACGCACACGCGGGAGAAATGCGGTTAATAAATCCTCTGGTGTGCAAGTCTTCAGTCAAAGAGACCCTGCCGGCTAAAAAGGGCAGGAGGAGGAGGAGGAGGAGGAGGAGGAGGAGGAGGAGGAGGAGGAGGAGGAGGAGGAGAGGGGGGAGGGCAGCCAGCAGCAGGCCGTGGGCACATCTAATCTCAGAAAACGCACGTCGGGGCAATGCTTCTCCACCGAACTCTACTGTAGACAGGGCCGAGCTCAGCCTGCACAAATGTGCCAGAGGCCGAACACGCTTGCGACGCGTGCTCGTGCATTGCCCGTACCCATGTCAATTTGGGACGACCTCTTGCGCGTCTTCCGTGCAGGACGGGCGGGTTCAGGCTTCCGTGCGCGAAGACTACATGACGAGTTGCTGAGTCCGGCATGCCACCAAGCTTCCCAAACAAATCAAGCTGCTTCATGAGAATGTGGCTGCTCAAGCGGTGCTGCCTTGCTTGCTGCCGCACGCGTTCGTTGGGTACGTTGGAGATCATAGAATGAGGGATCTTCAAGATTTTGCGAAGACATTGGGCCTGAGACGCGTCAAGCTTATCCCTCTCTGCTTTCCGCAGACACAGGGCCTCGATGCTGTACGTGAGCTTGGAGATGACGCATGCGTTGAACAGCTGTATCTGTCTTCTCTGACTGATGTTCGCGTGCCTCCACACCAGGCTCAATGTATCCAGGGCTCCCCTGGTTTCACCCGATCTGCGCGCCAGAGACGCGCCAGCGTTGCAGTCAGCGTTCAAGAGGCCTCCAAGATATAGAGCTGAACTCGTAGGTTCGACTGGGTCCCCGGCGGATGTGTGTATTGGCGCTGCATGCCGAACTTGTAGATGCACAGTTTTCCCCCAATTGGGTTCCAAGCCGTACTTCCACGCATGGAGAACAAGCGTGCGCAAGAAAAACTGCAAACAAGAGATGTCGTCAAAGATCAAGGCCGTGTCGTCCGCATATGCTACGTCTAAGCACGTTCGCCCTTGAGCAAGTGGACCGAGCTCGCGAACCAGCGCCCCTTCGACATCAGTCAGCAACACGGACAGCATGATGATGAACAGATAAGGGCTCAGTGTGCACCCTTGCGCGATGCCGGATTGTTGGTCGAAGATGCCAGACTCTCCGTGCGCATCGCGCACTTCAAACGTCCTGTCAGCGTAAACCTCTGCAATGAGATCGATATACTCATCGGGAATGCCAAACCGGGCTCAGGCGATGACCAGTCAATCAGCAGCACGGACAGACATCCTTCCTTGGTCGTCCATGCCTTCTCGATCAACCTCTGCACCAGAAAATATGCGTCGCTAGCTCCACGGCGTTTGCTGAATCCGAATTGCGTTGGTCGCAAGCGTTCCTCAACTCCTCCCTCTACCATGCGGTGCAGGACAAGGGCGGCGACTACTTTGTACCCCACAGACAAGAGCGATATGGGTCGGTAGTTATCTGGCAGAGACACATCGCCCTTTTTGAACACCGTGGATGCACTGAAATGTTTCCACTGCTTTGGCACGGTCTTCTCCCTCCAGCACACACTGCAAAGATGGAGTAGCACATCGCGGGCATCTGCGTCCGACAGTAACGCTTTCCAGAGGTCCGGGGGGACGCCGTCAGGTCCAGAAGCCCTTCCTGTCCGCAACTTCGCAAGTACTGCTGACAGTTCCTCGCTGGAGAAATCGCTCGTCCGCAGAGGCAACACCAGGCCAAGCTTGTCCCCGTGCGGAAGAGCTCTATCCAGCGGCGGCGGTTTCCACTGCACCGTGGCGTAATGCTTTGCCATGGTTCCAGCGCGTTCATCACTCCTGACGAGATGCCCGCTTGCGTCTCCAAGCCGTCCTTGTCGCTTGAATCCTCTCCGTTCGAACTGTCTCAAACTTCTCTAATCCCCATTTGAAAGCATGTCGTTCAGCCATGATTCCTGGTCCTGCTTCGCTGATGCTTTGATCTGCCGTGACAACAACATCTCCCTATCAACATGGCCGGCCACGCGAGCTTGGCTGCGTTGTTCTATCAGACTCAAGGTGCACTGTCGTATGCAAGGCCGGCTTGCTTGCACAGGACGTCGGTCAAGACAGATTGCCGCTGCCGCAGCCATGCCAGCATAGACCCAGGCAGCCACTTCGTCCACAGTTTCTGCGCCAATTGCCTCGTTGTCGCCGACCTGGTGCAAGAATTCGGAAACGAAACGCGTCTTCACGTTCTCCTGGGTGAGCGATGCCAGATCCAAGGTATACCTCGCCGGCTTTGGAGAGGTTTTTGGAATCTCAACGGCAAGCCGGGCAACGACGAGGAAGTGGTGCGAAGAGAATCCAATCGACCGTTCCGCCCTGACCTCTCGCACCGTGTCCTGCCACCTGCGCTCCACAATCAAGTGGTCGATCTCGGCGAAATTCTGCGGCGTGAGCTCCGAAACTGGCGTGGCCCAAAGGTCATAATAGGTCACTTTCTGGTCATCTGGCCTGTCCAGGAACGTGTTGGCAAGAATCATGTGGAGTGCAGTGCAAACTTCGACAAGCATGTTCTGATTGCTGCGAGCGTCGGTCGTGCTTCCTGAAGGCCCCCAAGCATATGGCCCGACAACATCTGCATGCTCGCACGCTGGGCCAAAACGAGCGTTCATATCACCGAAAACGTACAAACGTTCGTCAGGCCTGGTACGAGAAATGAACTTGTGAAGGTCATTATGTAAGTCGTGACGCACATCAAACTCAAGACCAGATTGAGGACAGTACGCAGTAGTGATAGACATGGAGCCGCCTGGAACTCGAAGCGTCAGGCTAGCAAGTCTGCTGGACTCCTGCACGAAGCTCATGACAGCGTGCCGGGCGGAAGGAGCGACCACGAAGCCCCTTCCTGCGTGCTCGCGAACATTGTCGGGGCCACCTGACAAAATGACTAAATGCCCATTGTGTTCAAAGTAAGGGGCTGTGCACAAGTGTGTCTCCTGCAAGCAAAGCACTGCTATCCCTCTCTCCCCCATGACCTTTACCAGCTGCTCCAATTTCGTGCAATCGCTGTCCAGACGCATGCCTTCCACATTCCACGAGGCAACGGCCGTGACATTACAAGGCCATTTTCTTTGAGTGTCTCTGACATGTCCTGCACGCCCCTTCTGCTCAGCAAAATGAAGATCAAGAACGGGTGCGTTATGATAGCGTTGATGGTGCTGATGTTGATGGTGACTGTAAGGTTGTGAAACGTATGGTGAAACGTCTGGCTCGGATCTGCGTGGTAAAGCTTCGTCTAAGCTTCCATGCCCCGATGTCCCCGGGGGAAACAGCGAAACATGTAGACGCCAGGGTCCCGTATACGCCAGGATCCGCGTTTATGTGCGAATTTCAGCGCAGGGTCGGGAAAAGCGTCGGTGTATAGAGCTCGGCCCCCTAGAATGGAGAACGGGGATGACGATGATACAGTGCCGTTTTTAATACATGCTCCGCGTGCGGATCATGTATTTCAAATCCAGGAATTGAGTAATACATGCAAGGATGAGTTTATGCATTAATTTTGTTCATAAATGAGTCAAAAATCATATCTACATATATATATATACATATATATATATATATTAAAAATCCAATGTATTAAAACCTGCCCTGTAATGACGAGCAGGCTTCCGCGTCGAGCTTAAGCCGTCGAAGGCCCGGGCCGCGGGCCGACGACTCCCGGCACCAGGCGCAGCTCCAGCCGGGCCCCCGCGAGCGCGAAGGGCGGCGCGAAGTGCACGTCCTTCTCTTCTTCTTCTTCTTCTTCTTCTTCCTCGTCGTCATTCTCCTCCCTCCCTCCCTCCCTCCCTCCCTCTTTTCTCTTCCTTCTCCTCCTCCCTCCTCTTCTTCCTCGTCGTGAATCTCCTCCCTCCCTCCCTCCTCCCTCCCTCCCTCCCTTCTCTTCCTTCTCCCCCTCCCTCCTCCCTCCCTCCCTCCCTCTCTCCCTCCCTCCCTTCTCTTCCTTCTCCCCCTCCCTCCTCCCTCCAAGGCGGGACGGACCGTCCCGCCCTGGAGCCGGGACCCTCGGCGACAGCTGGGACACCCCGAGCCGCGGGCGGAAACACTCCGCTCCCATCCGCGGCAGGGTCGTTGCGGCCAGCTGGGCGGGGATGCAGGTCGGCGGGCGGGCGGGGGGGAGGCCCTGCTGGAAGCTCGGGGTCCCTCTCCCAGGGGCTGGGCTGGGCCCCTTCCCCCCCTCCCCTCCCCCTGGCTCCCTCCTCTCTCCTCCCCTCCCCGTGGGGATCTCGGCGCCAGCCATCGGCGGCCAGGCCAGGCGGGCAGCGAGAAGGGGCGGGCCTTCTCAGAGGTCTCGGATTCTCCCCCCCCGCCTTCGAGAAGTTTTCTAAGCCTTCCCTGAAGACACAGAAAACTTCTCAGAAGGCGCGAGGGCTTCTGAGAATTTCCCCCGCCTTCTGAGAAGGCCTTCTCCTTCTCACTTCCCCCCCTCGCCCGCCGCCGAACCTGAGGACATGAGTTCATTCATAGTCGATCGTTGGGTGATCATGAACTCTTGTGCGTGATCGAAAATTTAGGCTTGGGCTTGGCTCTGGCCCCGAGAGCGTTGATAAACTTACCGCTCCCGTGTGTGGTTTGGACGAGGGCCCGCTTGCGCGACATAGGACCGCCGTCTCTTTCTTCGAATCCCGGGGATGCGGTAAATCCAAGCTCGAGCCCTCTCGGATGACCAGGAGGGGCCCCGAGGGGCCCAAGGCGATGGTCCTCGTCAAGGTGGGCGACTGGCGTATGGATCTGAGGCCAGACTCGAGACGGAACTTTGAGGAGCTTCCAGGAACGCTCCCAGCTCGGGAAGATTCAAGCCCCCTGGACTCCAGCGGAGCAGCCCGCGTCGGTCGAAGACTGCGCCGTCTTCCCGACAGCATCCTGGTCTACGCAGGAAATTACACCCCAGAGCAGCTGCGCCAGAAGTCGCAGGTCCGAGTGCGCCGCCCCCTGGTCGGAAAAGAGGAGGAGGAGGAGGAGGAGGAGGAGGAGGAGGAGGAGGAGGAGGAGGAGGAGGGAGGAGGAGGAGGAGGATAAGGATGAGGATGAGGAGGAGGAGGAGGAGGAGGAGGAGGAGGAGGAGGAGGAGGAGGAGGTCGAGGTCGAGGAGGAGGAGGAGGAGGAGGAGGAGGGGGAGGAGGATGATGATGATGAGGAGGAGGATTCCGTTCCTTAGCGTGTCGGCTCAACGGGGTTGGCTGCGAGGCTCGGGCTGTGGCGTCCGGTGCTGTCTCCCTCGTGGCCAGTGGAGTCCACTCTCCGAGGGTGGGGGGAGCCGTGGTTTTGAATGAGATGGTCGATCAATTGGTCGATCTATTGGGTTTCTGTACTTTTTTTAGTCGGGCGTGTCCCTCTACAGGAGGAATATTCAAAAATTGTCAAAAAGATAGTCAGGGGGCGATTTTTCGATTCTTTGGTCACCATCTCTGATTATTTCTGGAGTTTCTTCTATTACGTTCCGTCCAAGACTCGCCGGGAGGGGGACACGCCCGACCTAACTTTTAGTGGTTCGGGGAAGTGTCGAGTCAGCGGATGATTCATGGTCGCCAAGGCCTCGGACTGCCGAGGCGCTGCGTCGGGAGCGGGGGGCACGCCGCAGCGGGCGTGGCGCGTCCCTGCGGCGGGCGCGTCCCGCTCGAGCGCGTCGAGGGCCGGAGTCGCCCCGCTGGCGCGGAGATCCTGCCGAGTCCAGAGACGAGTCCCGTCCACTCTGACTCTAGGAAGGGAAAAACACAGAGACACAATGAATCGTCGATCCCCAGGAAGGTATGGGGAAATATGGGAAGTGGGGGGGGGGGGAAGACGAACACTAAGAGAATATGGGGAAATCTGATGTGTGTCTGTTTATTTGTGTGTCCCAGGGTCCCTTCATTACCGAGGAGACCCAGGCGCTCAGCGCCGCCCTCGCGGAGGCCGAGTGCCTTCGGGTGCGTTGTTGCGACGTGCGGAGAAGAAGGGGGCCTCGTGGACGATTCCCGGAGGGCCCACAACGGCCCCTTCGCTTCGGCGTTGAGGAACAGTCGGGGGTGGACAGACCTCCTACCCTGACACGTCGATTAGTGAATTGTCCGTTTTCGGTTCTCGAGAGGGCGCCGCGGTCGTTATTTTCCACGCTTGCGCCCGCCAGGTTTGGGCCCGAGGTCGTTTTCACGAAATCACGTTATACTAACGGGAGGTCTGTCCATCCTCGAAACAGCTGCGCTCTGCGCGCTCAGCCTGGGGGAAACGTCAGCGGTAGACGGCGAGGGAATTTTGACAGCCTGGACACAGACACTTCGGGGAGTAAGAACGACCGGACGGCGGCCATTGACCTGGCCGTGCGTCGGGACTTTGTGGCGCACCGGGGGAGTTGATTTGTCCGATTTGCATC